TGGGTGATCCCCCCCCCCCCTCCTTTTTAATGGGGCTGCAGCATCCGCTGGTACCACAACCCCCCAAAAAAAGGAATATTGCTAAAAAAAGCGGATTATTGGACTTTTCCACCCGGCTGCTCTTCCCTGTCCTGGATATTTTGTTTCTAAACCCCCCAAAAAAAGTCCCCCAAAATAATCCCCAACCCCAAAGTGAATGAAAACAACAAAAACCACCCCAAAACCAAAATCTTGTTGGTTTTTCGAACCCCAAACTCGCCGAACGGGCGCGACCCCTCGGGGAGAAAGGACTTCCAAGAACTTAAACGTTTAATAACCCTTAAAAGCTGAAAAATCATCATAAAAATAGATTAAAAGAAAAACAACCCCCCCAAAAAAAATCACCCTTGGGTTACGTGGAGGCAGAGCTTGAGCTCTGCTCAAAAAAGGCACCTCGTTTCTCCAGCACAGTGCACAGCGTCGTAGGAGGGACTTTGGGCTGATACCAGGCAGAATGAATTCATAATAATTAATGAATTAATAATTAGGGGAGGGAAAGAAAAAGCTTTGGGGCTCCCCTCATCATACCTGAGATCTCCCCGGGGTGGGCGAGGGCTGAGCTAGTGGGGAGGGGAACCCCCCAAATGATGAGTTTGGAGGGGAGGTGGGATCCTGAATCCCTCCTGGAAAAGGGATGCTGGAGAGGAGTGTGTGTAGGGAGGGGAACCCCCCCCAATATATATTATAGCACCCAAAATGGGGGGTATTTGAGGGAAAATGCCAAAGAATGGAATATTGGGAAGAAAAAGGTTGGGGGAGGGAAAATAAAGGTGTTTTGTAGCTGCTCTTCAGGTCCCCGATTTTACCCCGAGCTGGGGAGGTTTGTGGCTGAAAGGGGGTAGAAAGTGATGCAAAATGCTAGAAATTAAATGAAACTCATAAAAAAAAAAAATTAATACACCCCCCAAGAAAGAAAATACCAAAAAAACCAAACAAATCAGAAGCCTGGATGTGCCAAAAGATCCTGCTACGCTCAGGGGTTTAGAAAAGCCCGGGGGGGGCAAGAAAACACCCACCCCCCCCAAAGCTTTGGAAATGGGAGGACAGGTAGTTAGAGCCGCTGCTGGCTTGGAAAAGCGGGGGTCAGGGGGGGTCCCCAGGGGGTTGGAGGGGTCCCTGGGGAGGGTTTAGGGGGGGTCCCCAGGGGGGGCTTCTGGGGGGCTCCCCTCAGAGGGTGCGGGGGTTGTACTCGGGCAGCTTGCGGAGCTTCTCCTTCTCAGCGTCGGGCTCGTCGCGGGCGATCACCAGGGAGTGGGCGTAGCCCATGGCCACCTGGGGGGGACGGGGGGGGGGAAACTGAGGCACGGGACCCGGCCCTGCTGGGTTTATCACCCCTCCTACCCACCACTTTTATCCAGGGCCACGTTTGAGCACCCCATGGGTGTCAGAAGGTGTGTATGGCCTCAGCCACTGTACTTATTGAAGGACAGAGGAGCCAAACACCCTCCTTCCAGCACCCCACGAGTGGGATGAGTTGTGTACAGCCTCAGCTACCCCGTTTGCTCAAGGACAGGGGCCCACACACCCTCCCTGCAGGAGCCCAAGGGTGGGATGAGTTGTGTACAGCCTCAAATTACCATATTTATTGAAGGTGAGGGGCCCACGCACCCTACCTCCAGCACCCCATGGGTGTGATAAATTGTGTATGGCCTCAGCCCCTGTATTTATTGAAGGACAGAGGAGCCAAACACCCCCCTTCCGGCACCCCATAGATGTGATGAGTTGTGTACAGCCTCAGCTACCCTATTTATTTAAGCTGAGGGTCCCACATGCCCTCCTATCAGCACCCCACGGGTATGATGAGTTGTGTAAGGCCTCAGCCACCATAGTTTTTTAAGGGGGGGTGGAATTCCACACACACCCTCTGGAAGGGTCCCCCACTCACCTGCTCTGTGTAGATCCCATCCAGGGTCTTCACCTCTTGGGCGGCCGTCGAGGACTTGGGCTTGTGGTCCCCGTAGCCCTGCCAAGAGCATCCCATGGAAAGGGGGGGAAGGAAATCAATGTGTGGGGGGTGGGGAGCAGCAGATCCCTCCCACTAGCGGTTTTGGGGGGTCGAGGGGTGGGGGGGTCCCCAATAAATCCCCCTTACCAGCTCCCCAAAGGTGGGTGAAGGGCCCCAGCTGATGGTGCTCTCATCCGCTGCCACGATGATGCTGCTCTTCCTGCAGGGGTGCAAGGCAGGGTGACCCCACATCTTTTCCCCCCCCAAAAAAAACACAGCCCCTCAGGTGGCTGCACCCCAAAAACCCCAGGAAATCAGGATTATTGGTTTTTTTGGGGGAAAAGGTTGAAACTGGACTTACCCACAGGCCAGGCTGCGGATTTTCCAGCCGCAAAGGTCCTGCACAGCTTTGGGGTACATGGTGGACTCCCGGGAGGTGTTGGTGGCCCCCCAAAAAAACAAGCCACCTGCAAAGTCACACATTGCCCTCCAAGCTCTGGCAGCTCCCCCAAAACTCCCAAGGGAATGCCAGATTTCCTTGGAAAAGCCCCCATCCCAACCTGTCTCACTGACGGCGAAGGAGCAGGTGTAACCGGCATAGATCTGCACCGCCCCGCGCCCCGGGAAGTCAAAGAGCTTGACCAGTCGAGGCACCATCTCATCCTTCTGCTCAGCGTGGCCCAACCGCCCGTAGCCTCCGAAGCCCCAGGAGAAGACACGTTTCTGAGAGTCCAGGACAAGCTGGGGAGGGAGAAACACCCCTTTGTCAGCAGCTGAGACCCCAGCAGCTCAGCGCAGGGAAAGCTGCAGCACCCACAACACCAGGCACCGACTGCTGCAAGTGTCAGTGCTCCCTGCAGAGCTGTACCCTGACCTGCACCCTGCAAGTATTGACCCTTAAATGCACAGTAAAAATATTTATCACTAAATGCATCCTGCAAATATTTACCCTTAAATGCACCCTGCAAATGTTTATACTTCAATGCATCCTGCAAATATTTGTGCTTAAATTTACCCTGCAAATCTGTACCCTCAAATGCACCCTGCAAATATTTCTACTTCAATGCATCCTGCAAATATTTGCCTTTAAATGCACAGTAAAAATATTTATCAGTAAATGCATCCTGCAAATATTCACCCTGCAAATATTGATCCTTAAACACACATTGCAAATATTTATCCTGATGTGGAGGCTGCAAAACTTCATCCTTCAATGCATCCTGTGAATCTGTGTCCTCAAATGCACCCGGAAAATATTTCTCCTTAAACCCATCCTGCAGATCTCTAGCCTGATATGCCCACTGCAAGGATTTAGCCTTAAATGCATCCTGCAAACCTCAATCCTCACATGCAGGCTGCAAATGTTCAGCCTTGTACCCAGCCTGCAGATTCCCAACCTTAAATTCATCCTGCAAATATTTATCCTCAAATGCACCCTGAAAATATTTACCCTTAAACCCACACTGCAAGTCTTGATCCTGACATGCAGGCTGCAAAACTTCATCTTTAAATGCATCCTGCAAATGTTCAGCCTTGTACCCACAGATTCCCATCCTTAAATGCATCCTGCCAATATTGATCCTCAAATGCTCCCTACAGATCTTGATCCTTAAACCCACACTGCAAAGATTGATCCTGACATGAGGGCTGCAAAACATTTCATTCTGAAAAGCATCCTGCAAATGTTCAGCCTTGTACCCAGATTTCCATCCTTAAATGCACCCAGCAAATCCTTAAATGCACCCTGCAAATATTTGTCCCTATACACATGGTGATTTTGGCCCTTGGTTGCTCCCTGCAGATCTTCATCATTCCACACAAAAACCTCCATCCTTAAGTATCCTTAAGTATTTCTCCTTACACATACAAGGCACATCCGGATCCTTAAATTGACCTGCAAAATTCCATCCTTCCTGCCAGGATTTCTCCTAAACTGCAGGGCTGCAACTCCCCAGCCTCAAATGCACCCTGCAAATACTGAGCTTTAAACCCACTGCTGCCAGAAATGGTTTTCACCTGCACTCTGCAAAATGTACCCTTCAAGGGGTGCTGCAAGAACTGGTCCTTGCCTGCTGCAAACACTGACACACACATTCAAACTGCTGCAAATCTGTCATCAATTAATGCCCACTGCAAATCCTGCTGGGGCTCCAGGAAAGCTGGGCAGGGACCATGGAAAAGGGCTTGTAGTGAGAGGGCAAGGGGAACGGATTAAAACTGGAAGAGAGGACATTGAGGTTGGACATGAGGAGGAAATTCTTCAGTGCGAAGAGGAAATTCCCCACCCTCACAGAGAAGAATTTCCTCCTCATGTCCAACCTCAATGTCCTCTCTTCCAGTTTTAATCCATTCCCCCTCATTCCATCCCTCCCTGCCCTTGTCCCAAGCCCCTCCCCAGCTTTCCTGGAGCCCCTTCAGGCACTGGAAGCTGCTCTAAGGTCTCCCTGGAGCCTTCTCTTCTCCAGGCTGAACACCCCAACTCTCCCAGCCTGGCTCCAGAGCAGAGCTGCTCCAGCAGAAGAAATTCTTCAGCACGAGGGTGGTGAGAGCCTGGCCCAGGTTGCCCAGGGAAGCTGTGGCTGCCCCATCCCTGGCAGTGTTGAAGGGCAGGTTGGATGGGGCTTGGAGCAACCTGGGCTGGTGGGAGGTGTCCCTGCCCATGCAGGGGGTTGGATCTAGATGATCCTTAACATCCCTCTAACCCAACCCAGGCTGGGTTTCCATCACCCCATGGCTCTGTACCGTGTGGTTGGCCCCACAGGCCACGTCCCGCACCACCACGTTGGGCACGGGCAGGATCTGCCCATCCTTGGTCTTCTCAATGCAGATGGCCACGCGCCGCGGCACCAACTCGCAGTCGTACTCGATGCGCTGCGCCCGGGCGATGAACTTCCCGTCCGAGTTGTGCCCTGTAGGGGTGACAACTTGGGTGTCCCACATCCCCCTTTTCCTTTCCCCCCCCCAAATCCCAATTCCCTGCAGAAATCCACTCTCCTCTTTGGAGATCTCCCCTCTGGATCTACAGCTCCCACCCCACTCTTTTCACTGGAGGGACAGGGCAGCGATGCTTGAGTTGGCCACATTGGGGAAACTGAGGCAGGGAAATGATCTTTCTCCATTCCCCAGCCCCATAATAGCTCAAAATTTTGGGAAATCACCCCAAAAACCAGCACCATACCCAGTTGCCCATACTCGGGGCACCCAAAGGAGTAGAGGTTTCCTTTGCAATCCATGATCATGCTGAACTCAGCCCCGCAGGCCAGTTTGGTGATGGGCTGCCCGTTGTACATGATCTGCAGGGAGAAGCAGAAAAAGGGGATTAAAAAAAGAAAAAAAGAGAGAAAAAAAGGCAAAAAAAAGCTCCATTTCCACAGAGGAACCCCCAAAAATCCCCAACTCTGGGGGTTTTCTTTTCAATCCCTCTTGGCATTTCTTTGCAGCAGCAAAGCAGCGTCGCAGTGAGGGATGATCTGATGTCTTTAAGGGGCTTAGGGTCTTTTTGATGAGAAAAGCCCAAATCTGCCGGGTTTTCACCCCAAAAGGGGAGGGGAAATAGGGAAGGGAGTGGTCCTACCTGCGTAGGGCTGGGCACAGCATCTGTCTGGTTGCCCAACCCCAGCTGCCCCATCTTGTTCTCCCCAAAGGCGAACACGGAGCCACTCTCTGCAAGGCCAAAACAGTATTAAAAAAGGGTGGTTTTGGTGGTAAAATGGGCCCATTTCAGACAATTTGTCCCCAATCTGCTCTGGTGAGACAACCCCTACAGAGGTGGGGCCAGTTCTGGAGCCCCTAACGTAAGAAGGACATGGAGCTCCTGGAGAGAGTCCAGAGGAGGCCAGAGATGACCCAAGGGCTGGAGCAGCTCTGCTCTGGAGACAGGCTGGAAGAGTTGGGGTGTTCAGCCTGGAGAAGAGAAGGCTCCAGGGAGACCTTAGAGCACCTTCCAGTGCCTGAAGGGGCTCCAGGAAAGCTGGGGAGGGACTTGGGACAAGGGCAGGGAGGGATGGGATGAGGGGGATGGATTGAAACTGGAAGAGGGAGATTGAGGTTGGACATGAGGAGGAAATTCTTTGGTGTGAGGGTGGTGAGAGCCTGGCCCAGGTTGCCCAGGGAAGCTGTGGCTGCCCCATCCCTGGCAGTGTTGAAGGGCAGGTTGGATGGGGCTTGGAGCAGCCTGGGCTGGTGGGAGGTGTCCCTGCCCATGCAGGGGGTTGGATCTAGATAATCTTGAAGGTCCCTCCAACCCAAACCATTCCATGACTCCCCAACACCCAAGGTTCCCCCATACCTGTCAGTGCCAGGGTGTGGTTTCTCCCACAAGCTGCTGCTACAATGGCCTCACCCCCCAGTACCTCGATGAGCTTCGGGGCCTCCACCCTCTTGGTGTCCCCGTGGCCCAACTGCCCCTTTTCATTGCGACCTGGCCAAAAAAAGCACCTTTTTTTTTTTTTCCTCTTTTGCTTCATTTTTGGCAGCCAAACAGGAAGATGCAGCCTTCCAGCACCTCTCCAAGCTGCACCCCTGGGTGGGGGGGTGGAAATTCTTGGGGTGCCCCTTTGGTGCTCACCCCAACTCCAGAGCTTGCCCTCGGTGGTGATGAGGAGGCTGTGAGCGGCGCAGGGGCCCGACACCACGCTCCTCACCTGGATCCCTGAGAGACACCCGTACCTGTGAGGCCCCCACAAGTTCTGGCCCAGGTTACGATATGCAACTGCATTCCAAAAAAACATCAGAGTTAATCACCATTCACCCGTTAAATAATAATTCAAACAGAAATCATAACAATAATTCGGATGAAAGAAGCGGCGCAACCACCGATCGCACCGATATCGAGGCAAAAAAGTCCACAGGGCAAATGATTTTTGCTCTGCAAGGAGCCTAGGATGCAGCCCAAAATCTGGCCCAGGTGATCATTTGCAGCTGTGACTCCCCCCAAATTAACGAGCGAAGACGTTAATGAAATTAATTAAAGATAAACGCATTAAAAGCAGGATTAACTTCATCGAAATGCAGCCAAACCAAGCAGGGTGTCTGTTCTCCTTTGGAGAGGTGATGCAGCCCAAGCTCTGGCCCAGATTACATTATGGAACTGCCAACTCCTCCCAGAATTAATTAATAAAGCAGATTAATGAAGTATAAATGCAGGGAAAACCGAGCAGAAACATGAATATGAATATAAATGCATGGAAAAGAAGCAGCGTTTTGCTTTGAAGATCCAGTGCACCCTAATTTCTGGCCTAAATTATAACGTGCAACTGTGACTCCTCCCAGAATTAATGAATATGAAATAAATTATTGAAATATAAATGAAGGAAAACGAAGCAGAAAAATTAATGAAACTAAAATGCATAAAAAATAAGGAGTGAGTTTATTTCGCTCTGTGGGAGATTTGGAACGTCCCACCCCCCAAATCCTGGCCCAGGTTATAATGTGCAACTGTGATGCCTTCTAATATTAATTAATAATAATAAAATTAATGAGGTATCAAGCAGCGAAATTGTTTTAATATAAATGCATCAAAAGTAAGCAGAGTGTTTGCTTTGCTTTGCAGGAGGTCAAGTTCTGACCCTGAGTTCTGGCCCAGATTACAAGATAATAACACCCTCCAAAAAGAACACTCTCCAAAAATTAATGAATTGCCAAGTCACTAAATATTTGGATGGAAAAATAAGCAGGAAAACCAAATGAATCAAATATCAAGGCATAAGCAATGTGTTTATTTTGCTGAGGCTCAAGACACTCCAGATTTGCAACCTGCAACTGGTTGAAGGAAACCCCTCAAAAATAGGAATAAAAATATTAAATAGAAATTAATAGAAAGAAGGTGTTAATAATTGGGTTCCAAGGCCAGGGCAGGTGCCCGGGTCTCACCTTGTTGCTTAGGCACTTCTTTACGGCCGATCAAGTCCCAGTTGGTGGCCCCGAAGATGAGGAGCTGTCCCCGAAACTTGGAGCCCTCCAGCTTCTGCAGGGGGTGGGAAAGGGTCAGTGACCCGGGGGACATCGGGGTGGAGGGAACACGGGGGACATCTGGGACATGGGGGATGTGGGGGGCATGAGGGGACAGAAGGAGATGTAGGGACATGGGGGACATCAGGGACACAGGAGGATTTGGAGACACACGGGGTATCAGGGGACATGGGGGGAATGCAGGACATAGAGGATGCAGGGGATAGGGGGACATCTGGGATATGGGGGACGTTGAGGGGACAGAAGAGGATGGAAGGGACATGGGGGACACAGGGGACACTGGGGACATGGAGAACATGGGGGACACCAGGGACATGCAGGACATAGAAAACACAGAGGATATGGGAGACACGGGACATCAGGGACATGGGGACGTTTGGGCCACAGGGGACATGTGGGACATAGAGGATGTGGGGGACATGGGGGACACTAGGGACATGGAAGATATTGGGGACATCTGAGCCATGGGGGACACCAGGGGCCATGGGGGGACACGAGGGACATCAGAGGGGACATGGAGGGTATTTGGGACGTAGGAGCCCCTGGGGACAGCTGGGACATGGAGGATATTGGGGACATCTGAGCCATGGGGGACACCAGGGGCCATGGGGGGACACGAGGGACATCAGAGGGGACATGGAGGGTATTTGGGACGTAGGAGCCCCTGGGGACATCTGGGACATGGAGGGA